GTGTTTCATTAAAAGATCTTTATCAGGCTTTAATCTTATGAGTGGGAGGCGCCCCCGCACATGGGGTAGTCATTTTTTTAAATCATAAATTTCCAGTATTCAGATCAGTAAAATGACTGGCAATTTGGCTACATGTGTATAGCCAGCCGTAGATATCCTTGGACAGTTCTTTTTAAAGTCCCTTTATGATGCGTTTGACTTATTTTCCTGTCATTTGCTTTTTTTCTACGAGAAATAACAGAAAAAAATATTGATTTGAGAGTTCTAGTTACTTTGGTTCAATTTAATTTTAAATGTGGTTTTATAGCTTACTGAATCTAATCATAATTTCTGAGTACAAACAATTTTGTGTTTATCCAATAAGTGGCATTTAAGCCCAGAGCTTCCAATCCATAGTGAGAATGTTCTTCCCTCAGTGGAGTGTATGGTAACATCCTACTTGCTGGTTCTTTCACTTCTCACGGTAGAACTGAAATCCTTTATCATAAATCTTTCAACTATGCTTGATTGCCTATGCCTAAGAAGGAAAGTACTTTAAAGCACTGATTCTTAACCACTCTGACCCCTTTGAGAGTCTGGCGAAAACTTTAGATGCTCTTCCTTGAAAAGTGCACAGTCAAAATTTTGCTTATAGTACATCTCAGATAAAGATCCTCTTCTTTAAACTTAATCTAATTTATACTAGGGTATAAATTAAGAATCAGGTTTTGATGAGGATAGGGGAGAGAATAAGAACACTTGAGTAATAAAGTTCGGAATTGGGGAGTGTAAAGAATAGAGAGGCTCGGGACATGATGGTCAAACATACAAGTGCATAGTTTTGCCCACTAACACCAGTATATCCACATATCCACATACATTTCCCCTCTCTAGTGGAGAGGGGAAACTTCCTTACCTGCAGTGCACTGAGTTTTTATATATAAAATGCATCTTTAATATAAAATATGCATCTCTGACCTTCTTAATTACATATAGTTGCCACTTAGTGGATGTAAATCCAAGCATTAGTCCACAAAGAGAAACATTAACTCTTTAATCCTAGTATGGTTAGTAAAGCATCATTTAATGGTAGAATAAGATTTTTGTGACCTACTACTGGAAAAGTTTTACCAAACTGACACTGCTTTATGGTTATTTAAATTTTAAAAAGAATTGACAGATAAAATTATCTGACAAATTTTCCTTGTACAGCATGATGTTTTGAAGTGGGATGACTAAATCTAGCTAATTAAAAAATGCATTACCTCACTTATCATTTTTATGGTAAGAACACTTTACATCCACTCTCAGCATTTTTCTAGAGTAAAATACAATATATTATTAGCTATAGTCTCATGTTTATTGTTGGTAGAGAATCACATTCAAAATGAAATTAATCATCTAGTTTCCTTGTGTTGATTTGTAAATTTGATCCTCTATAATTACATCTTCACCAAATTTCATGGAAAGATGCTACATCCTGAACATAAAAGCAAAAGAAATTTTGCTTTTTTATTTCTTGAAGGGAATAAATAAATTCTTGTTTAAATTTTTCATAATTCTTTTATGTTTATATTTGTTTTTATTAAATACTGATTAGAATCAAAAGGCAATTTATTCAGTATATGAAAGGTATAAATATTAATATGATGATGATGAACAACCATGTACCTACCATCCAATTTAAAGGAAAAACAAAACAAAATCCCACGTTCCCATCCCGTTCCATTCAGAGATAATCACTACTCTGAATTTTTATTTTCATTCCTTTCCTTTCCTTTATAATTTTACCTTATATGTCCATATTGCTAAGCAGTATTTTTTTTGGTTTTGCATGTATTTGAACTGTATATTGATGGAAACATTCTTGCATATAATTTTCTACATCATACTTTTTTTGCTTAACATATTTCTGAAATTCATCCAAATTTTTCCATGTGGCTATAATTTTTATATTTTGTCCTAATTTATAATATTCCATTATACCCTGATTTAATTACCCATTCTACTGTTGATGGACATTTAGTTTATTTCCAGATTTTTGCAATTAAAGTGTTGCTGTGAACATTGTTGTACATATCTCTAGGTGCACAAGTATAGTAGTTTCTCTAAATATACCTAGGAGTATAAGCATTGGGTCATACTCTATGTGACAGCACTTAATTTCTGGCCTCTGAGTAGTCTTTATAACCAGTTTACCACATCTTCCCTGCATTTAAGACAGTTTTTAAAAATATTTCTTCAGCACTTTTGGTTGTTTTTAGGAGGAAGGTTGATGAGGATTCCTGTTCTGCCATACTGCTAGAAAAGGCAGTCTAGCTATTTTATGTTTTCAAATTGAACTTTTTTCTTTCTTTTTTTTTTTTTGCCTTTAGCTCTCCATATACACTGTACCACCTCTCCATTCTAAATATGTTGAAGAGCAGCCTGGTCATTTACAAAAGGGCTTTGCGTCTATCCGCACTACAACTGGTCGATATATTGGTTGGTGCAAGGTAAGTTCAATTCTGATAGTGGTTTAATATCAGAAGTTTCCGATTAATTGGTCCAATTGCCTATTGATGTGTAACAAAGTACTCTAAAACTTAGTGGCTTAAAACAGCTACCATTATATCTCTCGGGTCTGTGGGTCAGGAATTTGATCAGAGTTCAGACAGATTATTCTTCAGTTGCATGTGGTACTGACAAAGGTCACTCAGTGGTATTAATCTGGCAAATGGGCTAATCTGGAGAGTCTGTGACAGCTTCATTCTCATCTCTGGCACCTTGTCAAGGAAGGCTGAAAGGCTGGGCTCAGCTGGGGTTGTTGCTGGGAGTATCTACAGCTGGCCCCACAAGGTAGGCAAATAATTCTACAGCATTCCATTGTTAAATCAAGTCACTAAAGCCAGCCTAATTTTATTCATTCATTCATTCATTCATTTATTTATTAAGATGACTGGTAAGGGGATCTTAACCCTTGACTTGGTGTTGTCAGCACCACATTCTCCCAAGTGAGCCATGGGCCAGCCTTTTTTTTTTTTTTTTAAAGAAAATGTAATTTTATTAATATTATTTTTTACATTCTAGGATGCTGTTGCGGAGCAGTTGGGAGGGAGTGGGAAAGGGGAAGGAAACGGGATGGAAGAATTAAGAAGGAGAAGGGGCGGGATTGAGACCTGTGGCACCTACCTGCCTCATTCCCACAGGGGAGACCTGGGGGCTTCTGGCAATGGCTTGGTCATTGCCAGGCTGGGTGCAGATGTCAGGGGAGTGTGGCAAAAGCACTCGCCCTCCACCATCCCAGTTTGGGAACCTGGGGCCCTTCTTGCTGCAGCTTGGTGGTCATCCCTGGGCTGGTTGCATGTGTCACGGGGCATGGCTGAGGCCCAAGGCCCCCCTTCACCCTGGCTGGGGAAACCCCAGGGTGCTTCCTGTAGCAGCTTGGTTAAAGCCAGCCTAGAGTTAAAGGGAGGGGAATTAGATGTCACCTCTCAGTAGGAGTACCAGCAAAGAATGTGTGGCTGTATTTAACCTACTGTTACCACTGCTTCAGCAAGCATTCATATCACTGAGCATGTACAAAGCATTGTTCACCTTTTACGTGAAGTTCTGAGATTACTTCTGAAATGTTCACTATTTGGCTAAGCAAAATGTTGTTCACTTGTTGGGGTTAGCTCATAAGAGCATTCTGACTACAGTCAGCTATTGGGCAAAGTAAAATTCACTTTTAAAATTCATTAAAGTTGGATTTTAATGCTTATCCTTCAATCAGCAGTATCCAGCAGTAGAGTGGTAGAGTAAGCTGATAAAACACTGATGTTTCATTATCATCACATAAACATAGTTGTGTTAGCATCAACATCTCCAATGTCAGTATCTTAATGATAACATTAGTACCAATGTATCATCATTCTGACCTGATAATGACACAGGTTTTCCCAAAAAGGAAAATTCTAACGAGTTTATGAGAAATAACATATCCTTAGGTGAAATACCAAATTGATGAACTCAGGTCATTCCAGATGATATTTCAGACATCTAGTGAATGAATACATGGTGTTATTTTTGAAAATTTGTGCCTCTCATACAATTTTAATGGTACTAGTTGTACTATACACTCTTGATAGTTTGATCTCTTAATAGTTTGATTTCAGAGGGAAATATCTAACTAATTATGGTGTGAATCATGCCCCTCAGGCTATATGCTAGTAGCTGGATGATTTAGACTTAAATCTCTTGAGCCCTAATTTTCCGTAGTGTTCTCAAATTTTTCTTCAGTGAGGTAAATTTTTCCTGAGAGATCTTTCAATTGCTATTGTAACTCTCACCCAATTGAAAACTAAAAGAACATTTACTGCGTTAATATGCTGAGATGGATAGGTTGAAGAAGGGCACTTTCAAATGCATTTCATCTTCAGTGTAAACAACTTTTCCTCTCCAATTTTCCTCTAAAAACCTAATCTGTTCTTTAAAAATTACGTCTAACTCAGATTACATTCCGCGTTAAACCAACAATCGTGTAGGGCAAAGTCAATTCCTACTTCTAATCCATAGTATTTTGAAATTTAGGTAGCAGTGACCCCCAGTGGTAAAAATGAATTCCTAAACACAGCTAAGGAAAATTCTCCAACATGACTAGTTTTCTTCCTTAGTGATAAATGATTTCCAATCAACTAGTCAATAGGTATTTTAACTTTGAAGGTGAAATTTTCTGAAAACAGTCCTTGAAAACAGGTAGCTCAGTGCCAGTTACAGTCTGTGCTGGTTTATACGGCATTAAACCAAATAAACAGGATGAACCTCTCTATCTCCGGTCACCATAAAAATATCTGAGACAAAATTACTAGACCAAGATTTCTCTATAGCAATAACTTTTCTCTCTCCAGTCTAATAAAATCATTTTTATTTTCTATGCTTTGAAAATCTTTTTGTTCTTATTTTTATCCCGTGGTTTCATAGCAGCTAGTTCAAAGATCATATGTTTAGATTATGTTGTCTGTTTTCTTCAATAGAGTACAGCATGACTGGGTAAATCATATTGTGACTACATTTTTTTCCTGATGTAAGTGACATAATATTTATCACTCAGTAAATATTTATAACAGTGTTTCTTGCATTAAAATAATTTTATTAGAAACAGGTAAAAGGAAAGATTTGCTTTAAAGTTTTAATACCTCCAGTGGGTTAATATAATATTTATTTATAGAGAATTTATGTACCTATTTAAAAACAGGATGGACATTACTCTGTGTAGGATGATTTCTATTCTCAGATAAATGTCTTATTTAGATTTTGTTTTCATTCTAATATACTCTATGAAAAAAGATGAAACCAGGTTTTTTTTAGGCTTTTTTTTTTCTTTTCCCCACAAATCATTATGTTGTTGCTGTCACATCTTTATTAATCAGATATTGCTTCTAAGCTGAAATATAACCCCCTTCATGCTTTATTTAAATTCCATTCATTTTTCTAGGCCATTATAAAATAAGATGATAAATCTTTATATTTTTCCAATATCTTTTCTGTGAGCTGCCCTGATTATTTTATATGTATCACTTTACCTATTTATATGAGGAAAATAGTAAACAAGTATTATCTATATTAAATGGAATGAAAAGCAAGAAATGCAGACAAGACAAATTAAGCAAGTATCCTCATAGTGAATAAATAGGAATCTGGATTTAGATTTAGGTGTAATTCTAAACCAACTTTTTAATATAATCTTGGAGGTGTAGGCTATTTTATCTGATTATCAACAGCTTCAAAAATGCAGATGTTCTTTCTTTCCCTTTTTGCTTAGGGTATTTATGGCTTTGTGAAGGATGGGATAATGGATACAGTACAGTTTGGAAAAGGTAGGTGAGTGAACCATCCATAATTAGAAATGTTTTACTGTGTTTTATTTTGCAGTGTTTAAATGAGAGAAAAATAAACGGGGTGTTATCCATTATCATGCTTTTACCAACTCAGAAGATATTCTGTGTAGAAGTTTACTTATAATAATAACAAAGAATAGTAAGTACTATTTGTTTAGCAACTATTATATGCTAAGGCATTGTGCTAAGCATTTTACGTAATTTACCTAATTTGATTTTTCTCACAATTCTGTGAGTGTTGGTATTATAATTATTCCCATTTTACAGATGAGGAAACTGAGGTTTAGAAAGGTTAAGTTGGTTACCAAAGGTTACATAGTAAGTGGCAGTGCCTGGATGCAAACTGAGGTCTGTTTTAACTACAAAGTCCATGTTATATACTCAAAGCATAAATTAAAAACGTGTCTCGATTGTTGCTAATTAGTTTAAATAAGTGCTATTTGCTGTTAAAGTTCATAGTATTTTGCTGTTGATTGCTAGGAAATATTATAGCAATCAGTCACCCTGGAATATTTAAATTAATGTTAGAAAGCAATTGTATACGACTCTTTAGCTTGTTAATGGTGTTTGGGAGCAGATATAGCTTCCTAATATTCTTGATCTATGCCAGTTGTTAAAATAAATATGTATGGGGGACAGAAAGATCAGCTAAAATTTTAAATGTCTCCATGAAGTTGATGATCTGTATTTGAATTATCATTATTTTAATGTATTAGGAATTAATTCAAAATTATATCCCTTATCAATCTTGAGGAATATGATTATGTGATTGCCATTAAATAATTAACTATAATAGAAGAGTGTATTTTTAGAATCAGAAACAATTTAAATATATAAAAAGCCAAGAAGTCTGGACTTTTGCCTACTCTTTATTTGCTTTTTGTCTAGGCTCACTTCTCATCCTGATCATTGGTTTTAACCAAGAACAATGGCTGCTCGGAGGTTATTGGGGAGTAGTAGCAAGCAAAGTCTAGTGGCTGCATGTATCCCTAAACTATTATTCAAAGCTCCTTAATAAAGTATCTATTTCAGTTCTTACTGGATCCTACCAATGTTTGAACAGATAAGGGCAGAGGCATGTTCATTGTGGGGATATAATATATACAGAATCAAGAATTTACCTTATAATAATCCATATTAAGATGTGCCCTCCAGCATCATATTTCATTAAAGAGTACTAATCACCTGAATTATTAAGAAAACAAATATTATAAAATCAACTATGGAAGGAAATCTTCATTCTTTAACAAGTAAATTTTTTTGCATGAAACAAACTTGGTATAATCTTTAGAAAGTAGAAAAATCTCATAAAATAAATATTGTAACAAGTAAATGTTATAACTAGCTTTTTAGGTTGCTGCTCATATCATCATTTTGTATAGCTCTTTTGAAGAGTGTTTAAACAATCTACTGTTATCTTAGCAAATCTTTTTAATCTTTCTGCATTACACCTATATAGAACGCCCAATTGTCGTCAGTCATTCATATTATTTTTTAACTGATTTCTTGAGATGCATATGTCTATCTGAAGAATCCTCCTCAAGACTTTTTTCCGAAAGTGGGAGTGATTACAGTTTCAGGATTGGCGGGCTTGTTTTCAGCAAGAAAAGGTAGGTTTTACAATATATACTCAATACCATTATATTAACTTCTGAATTTTACTGTTGTGAGAAAACCTCATATTTTTTTGTTGAATATTATCAGGATAGACGATCATAAAAATTTTTAGATTCTATAGTACATGTTTAAGACTTTGTGTTTTCAAAAGTGTAGCTATTCCAAAAGCTGTTCAATATCATTAGTCATTAGGGAAATGACGATGAAAACCACAATGAGATACCATGACACACCTATTAGAATGTCTAAAATTAAGAAGACTGATGACCATATGACAGTAGTCAAGAATGGAAAGCACCTGAAACTCATACACTCCTAGTGGGAATGCAAAATGGTACAGCGATTCTGGAAAATAGTTTGACAGTTTCTCACAAAGTTAAACTTCTATAGTTGTCATGAGACCTAGTAATCCCACTCCTGAGTATTTACCCTGGAGAAATGAAAAAACTATGCACAAATGTGTATTATGCTAGCTCTATTCATAATCTCCAACCAGGGTGTAGACAGAGGATGGATGGAAGGTGACCAGAATAGCCATTGACCAGAACCCAAAGCTGGAAACAACCCAAATGTTCTTCAACAGGTAAGTGGATAAACTAAATTGTGGCACATCCATGGGAAGGAATACTACTCAGCAACAAAAAGGAATGACCTATTGACACATGCAACAAACTTGGTGAGTCTGAGTGAAAGAAGCCAATCTATGTATGATTCCATTTAGATGACATTCTCAGAAAGACAAAGCTATAGTGACAGAGAACAGATCAGTGGTTCCTAAGGATTAGGAGTAGAGAGAAGGCGTAACTATGAAAGAATAGTATGAGGTATTTTTTAGGAGTGATATAACTGTTCCATATCCTGATTGTAGTGGTGGTTGCATGACTTTATACATACATTAAAATTGCCATTAATAGACACAATGATCATGTTTTGTAATGGTGAATATGCTAATTATCCTGATTTGATCCTCATATATTGTGCACAAGTGTTGATAGTTAACTCTGTGCCCCACAAATATGTATAATCAATTATGTTTCAATAAAAAATAAAAATAATAAAAGAAATTTAAAAATAAATAAATTTTACTTGAGAGAAATAAACTTCTGTTTCCAAAGTTAAAAAATTGATAGAACTGTACAAATTTACTCTATGATAATTTTAAAATAAAAATGTAATATGTAGCTGTCCCTATTAAGTGGTAATTTGTCATTTTGTTTTCTAGGTAACTTTAGTTTTTAAAAATCATAGGAGTCTCTGTCAAAAAAAATAGTTCTTAAGAGTTTTATGTTAATATAAAAATGTATACTAACCACTCAAACTACTTTTCTCTTAGTCATGACCACCCATATTCTGGGGGCAGCTATATTAAGGATTTGAGACAGAAATGCTAATATCTCAGATAAAATTTGATTCTCTCTTGGTCTCATCCTGACCAAGGTTGTTGGGACTGACATTAGCCAGTTTGGAATGGAGTTTGTGAAAGTAGACAGCTCAGCTCACTACTCTCATTTAGCATGGGACTTGATATATTTCATCTATTTCCCCTCAAACTTGGTAGTATCTCTACCAACTTTCCCCTTCCTTTCCACTATACCATTTATGTGGAAGGGTCCCCAAGACTACCCCCAGGTTTGATGGTTAGCTAGGAAGACTCATAGGGCTCAGCATATGGTCATACTTATGGCTAAGATTTATTATAGTAAAAAGATACAAAGCAAAATCAGCAAAGGGAAAATGCACATAGGGCAAAGTTGAGAGATAACCAGTACGAGCTTCCAAGAATTCTTTCCCAGTGGAGTTACACAGGGTCTGCTTAATTCCTCCAGAAATGAGTTGTGACAGTGCCAGTGAGATGTTGTCAACGAGGGAAGCTCATTAGAGACTGAGTGACCAAGGTTTTATTGAGTGTTGGTCATGTAGGCACTGTCTAGCTAGCATGTACCAAAATTCCAGACGTCGAAAGGAAAGCAAGTATTCAGCACAAACCACATTTGTACAGTTTACTAACGGTGAGTAAATCAGTGGGAATTACTGCCTTCCCTCCTCACCCAAAACCTTACTAAGCTAGTGTGGTTCTCTGGTCAGTAGCCATTTTGTTCACCTTCCATACATCTCTGTCCATACCCCAGTTACCAGACATTGTCTCCAAACTAAATTTACTTGTGGTTGGAAGGCACAGTTCTGAACCTGTCTGGAATCTGATGCCAGATACTTTGTGGTTGGTCTGTTCAGCTATAGTCCTAAAAGCAGCCTCAAATCAAGAACACCTTATTAGATACAAAATCTATGTGCGATTATGAGAACATTCCAGCATCCTAACTCTAACCCATATGTCTTATCCCAGTGGACCTAACACTCTCCTGATAGCCAATGTTAGTGCCTCCTTATATCCTAGTTCTTATTTTAACACAACTTCTAATCGAACGTGTATTACAAATTGTTCAGTGGGAAATAATTGAGATCCAAAATCACCATATGTAACAAGACTTAGAGTATTAAATTTTGAAGGAAATTGTCTAAAACATATTACTCAATTTCTCAGTAAGAAACTCATAACATTTTTGTAAGAGAAAACATTCTTGAGGTCTTTCACCATGTTTCCAAGTGCCAGAGCTGGAATAATCTAACCCAGTGTTTTTCAAACTGCAAATCTCAACCTATTAGTGGGTAGTGAAATAAATATAGTGGATCTCAAGAACTATTTTATTAAAAAATAAAATACAGGAAATAGCAAATATCAGAGTGCTTTGTACTTAGTGTGAGTAAATATCATGAAACCTATTTCAGTGAATTGTGTATGTGTGATAGGTCATAGATCATAATGAAAAATTTGTTCTTTAGTGTGAGTCATGGTTGAAAAAGTTTGAAAGCTGTTAGTTTAGTCTAACCCTGCTACAGGTAGCGGTCCAGAGAAAGGAAATCACCTGATAGTTTCATAGCACGTAGTACAAAGCTATTTAGTCACTGTGTCTAGAGTCCTTCCTAATTATGGGAATAGGGCTTTTGGTTACAAATGAAATTTATTTTCTTGCAGACTGGCTTCTCATATCATGTAAAGAGAGGATGAATGTTAAGTCTTTTTAATCTTTAAAATGACACATCAAGGAAAAACTGCCACCTGCCAACTTTAGGAGCAGCATTCTTAGGGGAATTTGGTTGAGTCAAGAGATATTAGTACTATAAAATCTAGAACTAAGCTATAGATAATGGAATAATAGTGAGCAGGACTAGAGTAAAGGAGCAATTTAGGGCATGTTTTAATATACCTAGACACTCTTTTCCCATACTAAAACAACAAAACAGCAGAAGCAACAACAAAAACCAGCCTAAATCTAATGGAAAGCTAAACTAGAGGTTGAAATAGTCTGCCTACCCACCTCCCCCATGCTCAGTCTATTGTGGACGTGACTGTAGAAAGCTTCCTTAATAATAGTTAGACCAGAAAGAAATGCCTCTTGTTTTTACCTTCTCTAAACTGCAAAGTTGCCTGTAAATATTGCCAGGTATTTTTCACCTTAGTGTTATTTGATATACCAGATAGGCTGTTTCCTTTTTAAATTAGGGATTGTAAAACCTGTCCCAGAGAATAGAAGTACTTACCCTAATTAAAAACCCATCATCCAGTTTCCCAGATCATATAGAGTCCAAGATACTCAGACAAGCATTTAAGATACTTATTTTGAATCAACAGCCTGTTGAAACTAAGCTGTAGCTTAGAGTGGTGGATTTCAAGCTATCCTGCAGAACCTGGGGTTATGTGGAAGTGTTTAGGGGTGTTATGCAGGCAGGGCTCAAACTGAGCTTCCTATCCCCAGGTTAATCAGAGCAATATCAAGTTTATAGGTTTCAAATATTAAAGTTCCTAATGAGATTCTATTTGGAAGATTGTATTTTGGAAAGATTATATTTTACTGACAAAAAAGTATGAAAATGACTCTTGGATGCTTAGTTAAGGCACTTTTTGAAATGCATTAATTATGTCAAGTTACCTGCAATTATTATTACTTCAGTATTCTAAATCAGTGACATGAAGGAGTTATGTACCTTTTAAAGTCTTTAGCTCATCAGCTGGGTCATTCACCTTTCTACCTACTCAATCAAACAAAGATATATAAAAGAGTCCATTTCACTTTAATATGGTGTCACAAACGCGGTAGTTGATTAATTCTCAGTATTATCATGCTTTATTAGATACTTGAAAAAATGTGCTTACAACTTTGGTTTTCTTAGAACATGAAAAAATACTTAGCTTTAAAAAAGAAGAAAAGCATCAATTCGTTTTGTGTAGGTAATTATCAGTATTAAATTGAGAACACTTTTCTTAAATTGGACGTGACAGCGAGGGGCTATTAATTGAATTGAGATCCTTAAGGGCATTTTAGCTTCCATCGTGATTGGTATTATTACCTTATGAGTAATTTAACAGGGTGATGGCTTAAAGGGGAGCAAATAAAACATTCCAGTATAAAAACACCAAGTCTGGTGGCATCTACTTGGAGTTTAACAATTTGTTTGAATTTTATAGGTTCTAGATTTAAGAAAATAACTTATCCACTGGGACTGGCCACTTTAGGAGCAACTGTTTGCTACCCAGTTCAGTCAGTAATAATTGCTAAGGTAAGTTCTTTTAAAGTGATAACATTTCAGTATTTGTTTAAACAATCTCAGTGTGACAATATTTAAATGTCACACAGCACCTGCAACATTTAATTTCCAGAGACATATGGTGGTATCAACTCTTATGTTGGCAAAATCACATTAGCATCTGAGCATGGTAAATGCCATTCTTAATTACATGATCACCACAAATAAATAGGATGAATTTGTGTAAATATAATTCAACAATATAAATGCAGGATTGAGGATTAAGTTCAGAAACACTGAATTAGAATTTATGTGGAGAAATATTGCTCCATCATTGAGCTATATGAAACTCAATTTTCAATTAACAGAAGATTATACCTGCTAGTAGCTGTTTAGTTCAGCAGATTAACATAATGCAGGAAACAACCAACTGATAGATTACAGAGGCTTCTGAAGGTAAAAAATATATATGCACACACACAAACTCAGTTTTGAAACCACCTGGAACTAAGAAACACCTTCCAAAAATGTTTATTATAGCTGTTTTGACATTTTCTTGTGAGCTACCTACAAACCCAAAGATTCTCCTAATGTTTTGAAGAATTTTTGTCAATATTTTATTTTATTTTTAACACGTTTGGACTGAGAAGGAGAGCTTTGGGATATGCAGTTTCTTCCTTCTTTCCTATTTCCCTTAATTGCCAACATTTAACATTTCTTCCTCATACTTGAAGCAGTGTGCAATGCTACCAGAAGGACTTTCTGTACTTGTGTTCTCATTACTGCCTCTCTTTAATTATAGGTGTAGATAAAACTGCCTATTCAGTATTTTGAGAATGTTAAGGATATAGCGTACTATGTAGTCTGTAATGTGATCAAACTATAAGTGCTTATAACAAAGGAAGAGAATGCTATTTGTTTTCTAGTTACACTTGAGATAATTGGTAGATAAAATTATAAACTTATTTTAAAAACTCTTTCCTAAGAATTTACATAGGGATTAGCCACTTAAATTAATAAAATGTTAGTGTTTGAAAGAAAACTTTAGCTCATTTAATTCAACTTCCATATTTTCTCATTTACTTATAAAGAAACTGTGGCCTAGATAAGTTTCACAGTAACTGACTTGCCCAGGATCATACTCAGCTTCACGCGTCCTGCTTTCTTGTCTGTTACTCTTTCCAGTGGATGATACTGCCACTGAATCTACTTTTTTTTTTCTTTAGAGTAATGACTTCATGGTTTTTATAAAAAAATGATAGTTACTCATCCTTAAGTAATTTAAGCATTTATGGAAAAGTTTGGAAAAATAGCAACCATCCAGAGTGCTTCCATCCATAAAAATGTCACTGTCAACATTTGATAGAATATTTTTCTAGACATCTTTCCATGCATTAATAGAGACAGAAAAACAGGTGGGTGAATAGGAAGATGAGAATGAGATTATAGTGTGCATCTTATTTTTATTTTTAAAAATAAAGTTTTAGGGCCGGCCCCGTGGCGCACTTGGGAGAGTGCGGCGCTGGGAGCACGGCGACACTCCCACCGCGGGATCGGATCCTAT